AAATTTTCTGGGCATGGGTTGGGACTCATTGTAATAATTTCTAACAGTCGTGGCCAGTCACAATTCTTTTAGCTAGAAGCATCTGCCAGGAAGAATGTGCCACTGGCGAAAAAAACCTGCGGGGGAAACTGTGCAAAAAACGCATCCTCGTACCGGCAGCCGGTACGCTTTCGACTAGGTTTGAAAATTTGTCTATCGTCATAGGCAGATCTGGCCTCCAGGGATGAGGGAAGGGCAACAGGGGATACCGAGCAGACTTTTATACGGTAAAACAACCACCTAAGCCTCTGGATGGTGAGGGCGAAAAGCCCTTGTCCTCCCCACTTCCCTCCTTTGACGTTGTTTTCACTGATGGTCCTGTGCAGTTTTTGTTTGCCTTACTGGTTTTCTTAACTCATTCCTCTCACTTACAAAATGATTTACAAGGAGCAGTGTGTTTAACTTCCTATAGCTTTTTTGGGTTACGTGTGAACACGGTGCACTGCCAGATAACGTTGCCTTTGTCGAGGCTTTGTAGTCGTTGTCTAACCATTCCGTTCATTGATACTGACGCTTGCCTGGAAGTCGAAATCGATTGCTGTTGGAGAAGGGCGACATCAACAACCTAGGCAGCGGTGTTGGGTGTTGTAGACGTACATTGCCAACTGCGCTACTCCTCTGTGCCTCCACCTTCCACAAAAAGAGAGAGAATATGGCATGAATTTTTTTAAACTAGAAGCTCATCAAACAGTAAAAAGTTGATGCGTTATTTGGTCGGCCTAAATTTAATGCGATAATTCGCATATAAAAGCAGGAAAGTTGGAGTGCTGAGATAAGAGGATCACCAAATCAGTCTCGCTGCGCCAGGCAGATCTCCGGATCCCGAAATGGGTGTTTTGCAGATCTGCGATTGTTAGTACCCCTTATCGCAGTTGCCAGCAACAGCATTTCAATAAGAACTATTTGGTAATAACATTGAGTACACTGTATTTTCAGAGCGTGCGAAACGAAAAGGAATCGATCCGATGGACCCGGCCGCTTATGGTGACAATGTTCCTGTGTATGCTCTTACGATTCTTCCCTTTTTTTATTCCATTTTCAACTAAATTCTCTCCTTCATGTTAAATTCTCTCGAGGTGGTCAGTGCGATTTACGATAGCTTGAAATTTCGTCCACTAATAACACAGAATTGAAAGAGCTGATAACTTCGCAGGGAGAGGAGTTGGTTGACATTTTCTTAAGGTCGCATTTTTGATTATCAAGTTTACATTGATTGTTTAAGGGGTACATGG